GTCGATACAGCTGAGAGGTCTCAGATTACAGCTATGCACGTAGGGTGTGCTCTGATGATGTCGGCGAAGTGCGACAAACCGCCTGTCTGTCTGTGTGGTGGGGATGTCATGGTCAGAGTTGACAAACTTTCGACGTGCAGCCCTATGCACATAGCGGGGACGGCGAAGGAGTCCAAGTGATTGTATTGTAGTGAGGCAGTTAGGAGTGTTGTGGCAGACAAGATTCCACATTTGCAGAGCGAAGTATTTCCATAGAGCCATGTCAGCAGCACAGAGGAGCAGCGGCTAGTTACGAGCTGCTAAGCAGGGGCTAGGCGGCAGCTAAATTGAGAAGCCAGCAGTGGCTAGCAGTGAAATGCTAACAAGAAACTGGGTAGCAGCTGAGTTGAGGGGACAGACTGGGGATGTGGAGAATGAAATGGAGCTCCAGAGATCCCAGGTTGAAGAGGATGGCTGGTAGCTACGCAGGAGCTAGCGGCTGAACGGCGGCTAGCAGTGACAGCCGATCGTCAGCTAGCAGTGACAGCTGATCGTCGGAGAATGTGTAAGCGTAATAGGTACACAGTCGATAGATCCAGACAGTTATGGTAGCTTTAGCAGACTATTTGCAGTGGGTTTGTGGTTGTTAGAACACAAAAACAAGGGGAAAAAACAGCACAGAAAACACGATTGTTTGGCTACGAAGTGAAGCGGCGACAAACACGCCAGCGTCCTCACTCACGCAACTGTGTGGCTCTGTAAAGGTTCTCTGGTCGGTCCATTCAGAACCCGAACAGCTATGCGTTCTGATGCATTCAGAAGAGACTGCCAACATGTGATGGAAACAGATTTTCTGTTAATGTAATACAGTATCTGTCCTGCTTTTCTGTATTTTAGACACTGGGCTCTTTTGTCAGCCATAGTCTGTTCAATAGGGCTGCAAACTTTTAACTTAAATCGCCACATGTACTTGTGCAGTAATCGAGCTGCGAAAAGCACAATTTTTGAAAAAGAATGCAGAATTGTAATCTACAGACTTAAGAAAACATGTGTCTTTGTAATCAATCTTTTAAAAAAGAAAATAAATTGGGCAATGATCATTTAATATATTTTTTAATCATAATGATAATTGTGATTTAAAAATGATAGATTTATCTTATATTGTGAATAATATCACAATTGCAACTAGTTATTTTTTCCAGCTCTTGTAGCCTCCATGCACACTCACCTGAACAATCTCCAGCATCTCAGATTTGCTGATGTACCCGTTTCCGTCCAGGTCGTACATACTGAACGCCCATTTCAACTTCTGCTCCAGCTTTCCACGTGACGTCACACTTAATGCGATGATAAACTCCCGAAAGTCTATTGTCCCATCACCATTGGCATCGAATGTGCGGAAGACATGCTCGGCGAACTTTGAAGCGTCACCGTAGGGGAAGAAGTTACCGTAGATCTTTTTGAACTCCTCCATGGAGAGGTTGCCGCTGGGGCAGTCCCTCAGGAAGCCCTTGTACCACTCCTGGATCTCGTGCTCCGTGAAGTCGGTGCTCTCCAGGAGGTCCTGCATCACCTCAGGGCGGAGCTTGCTGTTCTGCTTCCCCATGTCTTTAGGTCCTGTCAATCACTCGGCTCACAGCTGGGAGAGAGGGAGATGAGAGGGATTGGTTTTAGGAGGGGATTCATGTCATGACAGCAGATACATATATAATAACTAGGGCTGTCAAGTTAACGCGTTAACGCAAAAAAAAATTAACGCCACTAATTATTTTAGCGCGATTAACGCATGTGTATTTTTTGTCTTCGGCCGCCCCGTAGTTTCAGAGCGCATCGAGTTTAAAATACCATCTACAAGCTGATGCTGACAGCGCCGCTCCTGCCGTTCGCTTGCGGCAGACCACACTTCCACGCTCACCGGCAGGCACCGACTGGCCATCGGGAGGACCGGGAGGGTGTGTGTATGTGTGACGCGACAGAGAGACCTTACGTGTATTGTTGTTGTTGTTAGCATCTGGTGCTAGCTAGCTGCGCTAACGGATATAAGGAGCTGTTTAAATGAAAACAGAGGAGTGACATTTCGCCGACAACTGCGCCGAGCGCTTGACTTTATGCAGGTAGCCACTGACAGTGGGACATTGTAGGAAAAGTCAGCACACTCAGCACGGATAGTGCAACATGATTGCAGCGTCCAGGCAGCTCCCGTTCGAGTATATGCCTTGAGTTGCACATAGCTACAACGATCCATCACACACACACACACACACACACACACACACACACACACACACACACACACACACACACACACACACACACACACACACACACACACACACACACACACACACACACACACACACACACACACACACACACACACACACACTACTACTATTGTTAGTTATTAGTAGTATAGAGTAC